CTTCTCTCCTCCTCTAGTTCCCTTTCCCTTTCTTGTAGTACACGTGTCAGACGGTCTATTTCTTTCCTCCAAACACAATTATCCAGTTAGTGGTTGGAGTCACACTCCAAACTGAGAGAGAACGAGAATATCTCTCAGTGACATTGTCTGGTATATTAACCTATAATAAAGAAGAAGGAATGAATTACTTTTATTAGTATTTATTAGTAATAATTTAATAATAATTAATAATAATACAGTAGGTCCTCCATTATCCGAACACCTTTGTGTACTTTTAGAATAAGAGAAATGCAGCACAGAATACAGTAGAACAACCTATCCCATACTTCTTTGAAAGAAATGTGCATGACTTTTCTTTCTTTAACTCGCAAAGCATCTCAGGCTTCTCTTTAATGGTTTCTCTCTTGTTTAAGCTCCTTGCTGTAGTAGCCATTTTAACTGGTTATTAATTAATTAACTAGTCTGAGCATGCGCATTAGAGACAGCCATGCATTCAGATAAACGAGGGTTTGAATAAAAGAGGTACGGATAATCAGTGGCGGATCTATGGGGGGGCCAGGGGGGCAATGCCCCCCCAAAAATTTTCTGGAGTAATATAAACTTTGGTTTACCTATGTAAACTGTGAAACAGCTGCAGTACTGGACTATGTAAACAATCTTTAAACCACAATAGAGCTCATTTTAGCAGGCTTAGCCTTCATAATTTTTACTTCCCAAAAAGTTTTGCACAAGTCTAGTTGACCACACCCCCTAATTACCCCTCCCATCTCACAATTGCCTCCCCAAAAATTAAATCCTAAATCCGCCCCTGCAGATAATCAAGGACGTACTGTAATAATAATAATAATAATAATTTATTGTACATGTACATACATGTATCTCACCGGCTCATCAGTAGTAGTGCTCTTTGCTGGTTGGCTGCCTCCTGCAATGACTGCATCTGCTGAACTTGTACTTCACTCTGCTTCGCTTGTTGCTAAAAATAGATATAAAATGACATAACACGTTACTATAAATAGCCACCAGCAAATACATGTACATGTACATTTATTGAAAAAATACAAAATTAAGCTCAAACTCAAAATTATTACAAACCAAACCCACTTAATTGACCACGCCCATTTTAATT